AATACGAATCTTCCTGATATTCATTAAAAATGGTCTAGGACGGGTTGGGGGCAGTTGGCCCGTTTCTTTAGTTTGCACACCATGGGCATAGAAATTCGCCAACGCGGCAACGCCTAGCTTCGTGATCTCCGCTCACTCTAAAACAGTTTTAACAGTATAAATCTCCATTACATTACATGCTCCATCTGCTTCACCATCCTCTCATTCCACGCATCGCTTCCTCTACTCCTCGCTCTCTCTCCCTCATGGCTTCCTCTCTTGCTCTCCCTTCTTCTCTTCCTCTCAGAAAGCTCCCTCTTGATTCTTTCCACACGAATGGTGCTGCACCTCGATGCTTCCGCCTCAAGGGCTTCTCTCGATCTAGGGTTTCCATGAGCATTTCGGTTGGACCTCAGGCTATGGTAAATGATGCCTTGTTTGCTGAATACAAACCTAGTTGCGGTTTTCTCTTTCCTGGTCAGGTCAGTCGTTTTGTTGGATTCTGTTGCAAGCATGTTAATGCTATAAATCTTTCGAATTTTTAAGTTTTGTTGAATCTGTAAATTGAGGAATTGAAGCTACCAATTCAAATTTTACAGTCATTAGCATGCCTTCCTAATAATGTAAGGTTTTTCTTGGGTTTTTTAATCTTCTTCTTCTTCTTCTTCTTCTTCTTTATGTATGAAACTGGTTCTTATCGCTGAATGGACAATGTTAATTGGTTGATGTAGACAGAAATTGGAGGATTTTAAAGTGAGATGACTGTGTATGAAAGGCGTAACTTTAGAAGAAGAAGAAGAAGAAATGTGGATGAGTTGGTGTAGATGGAAAATGATTATTTGCATTTAGTCAAGCACAATTCTAGCTTGGAATAAAATTGTTGTTCATTCCAATGGGTTTTTACAGTGGTCTTTTCGGAACTTTGCTAATAAATAACAGCTGTGAAGAAGAGATTAACCCGTTCTAATAGTTTTGTTGTCCATTGCTAGAGATAGAACTTTATGTTTTGCTCATGTTATGTGGTTGTGGGATATGTGTGCTAGAATCTTTTCTTTACTCGGCTGTATTTAAGCATCATGTTTCACTAATGCTATCAAGCATGCTGTGACTAGTTGCTGAGGCAGTTATAGAAGATCTTCCTATCATTCTTTTTCCATTATAAATTTGAAGTTATGGTTTTCTTTTTGTAATTTTCTCAGGGCGCACAAGTTGTTGGAATGGGAAAGGAGGCACAAAGTGTGCCTGCTGCTGCAGAATTGTACAAGAAGGCAAATGATATATTAGGGTATTGTTAGAAAGACTTATTCTCTGTTTCTGTTCCTTATCTGTATCTTTGATTATGGGTCAAAATCTAGATTCACTATTATTCTGATTAGAATTCCCATTTTCTTCTCAATTTAGGTAAAAGTGTCTTTAAAATTAATACAATTTTTATGTCTTGTGCAGTTATGATATTCTAGATGTTTGTATCAATGGACCAAAAGAGAAGTTAGATTCAACCGTTATAAGCCAGGTATTTCACATTGGTAGTTTTCCTTCATTCACAAAAATGATTTCACCACTTGGGGTAAAAGAAGGAGTCCTTTTCTGCTTTAGAATAATTAATTATTAGTCTATTTAATTGTGGATATTTAAGACTCAGTGGGTGGTTTCATGAGAAAAAGTTTTCTCATTGATGGTCATATTGAAGCATGTGACTTTCCATTTCTGCAGCCTGCTATTTACATCACAAGTCTGGCTGCAGTTGAGCTGCTCCGTGCTCGTGATGGAGGCCAGCAGATAATTGATTCAGTTGATGTGACATGTGGCCTCAGCTTGGGAGAATACACTGCTTTAGCATTTGCTGGAGCCTTTAGGTGCAGATAATTAATTCTTGTGTATATTACACCCATCTTATGATTGTTTGGTCCTGTGCTAATGCTTCTCTTTTTGTCCTTCTAAAGCTTTGAGGATGGACTCAAGCTGGTCAAACTAAGAGGAGAAGCAATGCAGGTAGCATCTATTGATGCCTGATGGCTATGTTAGTCTAATGCCTTCTTGTTAGGTGGTTATATGATTCCTTTTGGTCCTGATATTTTTCTGCTGCCTTAAGGAAGCTGCTGATGCTG